TTATCTGTCATTGCAAGTGTTCAAATGCCATGGAACCATCACCTGCATAAATGGTCCTCTAGACAACTGGGAGTTACGGCGCCAGTAGTGTACGCCTTAAAATTTGGTCTTGAAATAGTTATCAGTATACCCGGTGCAGGGAAGCTTGTGCACAGAAGTCGCATGTTGCGAATGCATGAAAGAAAAGTCGAAACAACTACTTCTTATCCAGCATGTCAGCAGAAAGCCCACGGGTTGGCCAAGATCAACCTGTTGCAAATATATGAAAGAATCTTATCTCGACTCCGGTTGTCTTGTGCTGAAGCCTGAAATCTTGCGCATGATCGTATAGATTGCAAGCACTGTCATATTTGTCTGGCTCTGCGACCGGAAAGGAAGACCGGTTATAATAAGTTAAGTGAGGTTATTTCTCGTGAGTTTAAGAAACGACTATTACAATCCACACCTGATGAGGACCTATGCAAGATCCTCTGCGACAGTATGTTATTGGATATGTTCTGTTAAGAACTCTCCTCTGTTTATGTTATGAACACAGTTTTTGCCAAAAGAAATAATTTTCTGAAATATCTGTTTTGCCTTGCATTGTGACAGTGAAACAGTTTCTTGTGCTTGAAATGGGCCGCTTGAATGAGCCCTGCGGTTTGACACATTTTACGCGTCCATTCTTTCGTTTTAGATTGTTCTACGTCATATGTAGAGTTGAACGAGCGGTTCGCGCTAAGGTCGTGGGACAGGAAGTCAACCTCTTTACTAGAGCCGTACGATACTTCGTGCAGTGAGGAAGAGGACAGTGTATTTTTAGAGAGCCCAGTTTCGGTAGTAAAGGCCGGCGAGAAAGGTATGAAGTATGTGATGGCAATTAGTCTTTGTTAGTCGTCAGGTTTTAGGTGTATCTCGTAAGTGCTCGAAGTACGCAGCATTCCGACGCAGTCGCCTAAGCACCAGAACGAAAGAGCGACTGCAGAATGATTTCAAAAAGAAAATTACCGGTCCGTACGCGTCCTACGATGGCGAAAACTCGACCGAGGCGCCTATGGTGTCGGCAAATGACATGAGATTGCCTCGGGCTCTGCTGCCCGGCTCTTCCTCCGTTTACTTGTCGCCGAGGGGCGCAGCGGTTATAGGCAGCAGTTGTTATTCGACATCTAATGACATAAAGACTGGCTGTTCTTCAGGCTATCCCTTCACTAATGCTGACTGCAAATCATCTAAGCAGGGCACGTTTTCACCGAAAAACGATTGTCACAGTCACCTCCCCCTTCCTTTGTCGGCACCGTACGACTTTCGTAAGGATCAACGTATTTTCAACTTTCCATCCCTAAGCTACTGCGAGATCGCGGCCGCGAAAAACTTCTTCCAGAAGCCCAAAACTCCGAATAAATCTTCATACGCTAACATTCCGGTGGACGGACAGCAGCCAGTCGCTAGTCGCTGTGTCCAGTATGATCATATTGACGAATTGGCGACGCAGGCCATTCACAAGGTGAGACCCGTCTAGGCC